TTTTCACCTCTCCTGGGTGAGGTGGCACCGCTGAGAATCTGAGGAGACTTTTCTGGAACGCCAGTTACGTAAATTGCCCTGGGATTGCTGCCATCCAGGTTAGAAACCAGCTTCCTCCAACCTTTGCTTTCTGAGTCACGGAGCAGAGGTGCTGTCACCACGCTGCTGAAGGCATCAGCCCTATTGTTAAGAGATTTGGGTTTTTCCACTGTGCCCTGGGAGTATTGACTGTCTGCTGCTGGGGATGAGTCAGGGCTGGTGCCCCTCGTCCTGGCCAGCCAGAGGTCAGCCCCAAGCCATGCTGGGCATAGCCAGGGGAGTGGGTGACAGTGGGAGCTTCAGTGGGTCCCTCACAGGAGACAGGTCCTGGGGACTGAGCTGTCTTTAGAATACTTTTTATTTGCCTTCCCCTGTTCTCTCAGCTGCTTAGGTTATTCAGAATATTGCTTATGTAGTAGAAAAACCTGACTGGGGCAGAGTGGAAGCGGGAGAGTGGAGCTGGATGACTTCATCACCATAGTGATGGATCCTCTCATCAGGGCCATGTCTTTCTGCTAAACTCTTGCCTCGTTACGCAAGCACGCAGCCATCCAGCTGACGTGGGATTACGCCAAACCCAACCACTTCCAGCTAATTATTTTTGCTGGTATATGTGTATCAGCCTTTATTGAGCAGGAGCTATTCATGAATAACTATCTTTTTCAAGCATCTTAGCTGAAGAATGCATAAAACCATGATCAAAAGATAGGGGAGGAAGCTGAGCAGCTATCGTCGCTGATATGCCTCGTGCTGGTTGGGCTGGGTGAGTTCTTAGGGAGATCTTTGTTTCTGCAGAATCATTTCCTTTCTCTGAGTTGCAATAGGCAAGATCCATAAATTTCACTCTGTAATAATAATAATAAAATAATGCCTTGGGTTTGTGTCAAACTAGGAGTTCTGAGGTGAAGGGTTTCTTCCTCAGCTCCTCCTCGCTTGGGTGCTTCATGGTTCATCCAGGTTGGGTGAAAGAGCATCTCTGGGTCCCTGAGCCTCTTGTCCTGTTGTGTCTGGGCATCTCAGAAGTGACGAGTCAAAACCTGGATGTCTAGAAATAGCACTGGCAGTCAGCTGCTGCTCCAAGCAGAGCTGTTGATGCCCCGGGATGACTTGTGGGGATGGTGCTAACTCAGAGCATGGCCCTTGGTGGCAGCAGGAGTGGGCATGCTCTCACACAGCCCTGCCAGGGCTGCCCTCGTCCTGGTTTCAGAGCAGAGCAGCACTGCCCTGCTCTGTAAATTGCTCCCTGCACTGTGGATTAGGGGGAATTAAAGGGATTTAAAATGCAAGATGTCCTAAGATAAATATCTCCCAAGTTCAGCCAGGCTGGCAGTTGTGTAACTGAACACCCTTGTTTTCCCTCTGTACTTTTCTGCCTGCTATTAAGAAAACTTCTTAGAGCAGCGTGTGTGCAGAGGGGTTTTTGTGGGACCTCTGGAGCAGTTCTAGCTGTCCTCTCCCAGCAGTGCCCTCGCTGCCAGGCTGCTGCTCCACGTGCCCATCAGATTAACTCTGTAATCCCCATTTCTGCTTGTCCCAGAGCAGGACTGGCTGGCAAGCTGCAGGGACAGGCTGCTGGCCCCGGTGAGGCTCACGCTGCTTCCTTCTTGGTAGCCCAAGTCCCTGCTCTACCACAGTCTGCATCAGCTCCTTGGTGCCCTGGGCACTCAAGGGAAGGAGCTGGGCCCCCCTCCTGCAGCAGGTATCACTTGGTTACTGTCTGTGGGGAGATCTTGGGGTTGCTCTCTGAGTAGGACATTCAGGAGGCTCCTTTCCAACCTTGAGAACAATGTGGTGGAAGAGAGCATCTGCCATGGGGGCAAACACACTTGTTAACACACCGTGCTTGGTGTGCAGGGGCAGTGCAGGAAAAAAGCATTTTAAAGAGACAAATGTCAAACCAGGAAACCCACAAACTATTTTAGCTCTCCACATGACGTGGTGAATGGCTGTATTTTATCTTGGGAGGTGATGAGTCTGTAGCTGTGTGGCTGTTTCCCTCTTGGATGGTTACAAATGGCTCTTGAATTCCATATGAGGGAATAAGGACTGGTTTTGCTTTGGGGTAGAGGAAAGCACTTGGCTCTAAATACTGCAGTTCTCTCCTTAAACATCTGCCCTCTGTCAGCTTGAGAAAGTGACTGTTTCATGAGGAGCTTCATCACTTTAAGACCATAGAACTGCATGCCCAGGAAACCTCCCTGGCATGGAGAGTTCTTTTTCTTTCCACATCACATCCACCCCCTGGTAGGATGGATTTCTGTCAACAGCAGGGTGTACGACAAGTGTTCCTTGGGGTAGGGAGCTGATGAAACACAGCACCCAAAAGTTCTGTCAGGTCCAGAGGTGTCTCCTACCTTATCCCTGAAGCTGAAGGGTTGGACAGACCTTGTTCTCACTTGCCACATGCTGAAGATCTTGTCCTGTGCATCAACTCACCCCTTTCCTGACACATGGCTTGTAGATCTGTTCTCCAGACCATGAGCCAGGTACTACTTCCCTCTGTCCAACAGAGAAATTCTGCTCCTTAAGCTGTTTTAGACATAAACAGCCCTCCCCGAGCTCTGGTTTGGATTAGCAGCAAATTCAGAGTTGTTGATCAGTGAGAGCTGAGCCAGCAAACATAAGTGTGTTTCCAAGTCTGGTTATCTTGAGCACAGCATCTCCCCCTCTTTGTGGAGGTTACACATAAACACCAGCTCTTACTTCACTTCAGAGCTATTCCTTGTGCTAAAGGCACCGAGAGCTCCGTGTAAACACCAGGGAGATGTTCTTCTGGAAGAACTTGGCCTGTCTGGTGGAGCTAGTGCTTCTTTTTTCAGTCGTTGGCTGAAAATACTGAGGAACTTAAGCCCAGTTGAAGGGGTTGTGGAGCTCAGAGAGGATCCATAGAACTGTAAATCTTGCAGGGCCAGCACTGGGGCAAGAGGCAGGTGCTCTTCTCCTCAGCTGCTGTGGTGGTGGCACTGAGCTGTGCTGTGAGATGCTGCAAGCAGCACAGGCTGGCCTGGCATGGGAGTGGAGAGACCAAAATGAAGATATAACACAGAATGGTTTGGGAGGGACCTTTCAAGGTCATCTGGTCCCACCCCCCTGCAGGGAGCAGGGACATCCCCAGCTAGAGCAGGGTGCTCAGAGCCCCGGCCAACCTCCCCTGGGCTGGTTCCAGGGATGGGGCAGCGACCACCTCTCTGGGCCGCCTGGGCCAGGGGCTCCCCACCCTCAGCATCCAAAATCTCTTCCTTCTCTCTCATCAAAGCCTCTCTCTTTTAGTTTAAAACAATCACCCCTTGTCCTGTCACAACAGGTGGTGATTTTATACTCCATGTGGAGGCTCTGGACTATTGTCTGTGGATTTGAAGTAGCTTAAATTTACCTCATTAGCATTACACCTTTTATTGTGAGCTAGCCAGGAGGTCTGAAACCAGCAGTGATGACCTGCAGAGCAGAAAGAAGAGTGTGAACTTGGCAGCACCCAGTGAATGCTGTAGAACGTGAGTGCAGCCTCACAGGGAGGTTTTCTCACAGCCCCAAAACTCTCTCAAGATCAACAAATACAAGTTTTGCTTTATATAAAAAAGAAGTCAGTTCAATTTGGCCCAAGGGAGAGAAGGAGATGGTGTAGCCCAAAGGTGGATGTCAGGTCGATGGTCCCTTGCTTCTCCAGGGAAGGAGCTGGCTTTGTTTCTGTGAGACTCCTGAAAGGCTCTAAAATCCAGGCTCTCAGCTGGGATCTGAGGTTGAAATGCCATTGCATTGCACCTCTCCTTTTGAACCACAGCACCTGAAGAGGAGTGACTAAACTTGCCTTGTTCTTGCTAGGAAAGAGGAATTCTGAATTCTTGGTGCCTGAGGCTGCAGCACAAATAAATGTCAAAGCAAAATCTTCTTGCCCTTGTTTTTCTCCACAGTCTGTGGGAAACCTTTTGTCCGTGCTTAGCCCACTCTGAGTATCTCCATCAACTACATCCCACCCCTTCTGCTCCTGCTGCAGGCACGGGGCTGTGCTGAGCCCCAGCCTCTCTGCTTCAGCACCAAGTGTGACAGGAGCTCAGGTCACCTCCTCTGGCCTTGGCCACAGCTCCAGCAGCTGGACTGGAGGTGGCCTGGAGCCAAGCAGGTGTGGCACCTTTCCTGCTGCAGTATCAGCTGTGATAGGGTAATAAATGACTGATAAAAGTTCATATTAAAGTGACATCATGGTAAAAGGGCTGTTAACAGCTTTGCTGTCTTCACCTGCTTGCTTAGAAGAATTATAGAATCAGTTTGGTTGGGAGGGACCTCAAAGATCATGGAGTCCAACCATCCCCCAGCACTGCCAGGTCCCCACTGCCCCGTGTCCCTCAGCACCACATCTCCACGGCTTGGAAACCCCTCCAGGGGTGGGGACTCCACCACTGCCCTGGGCAGCCTGGCACAGCCCTGGGCAACCCTCAAGGGGAAGAAATTGTTCCTCAGCTCCGACCTCAGCCTCCCCGGGGACAACTTGAGGCCCTTTCCTCTCATCCTATCAAGACTGCTTCTTCCAGCAGTCCAAGAAGAGCCGTGGAGGAGGTGGCCACAACGTGGGTGTGAGGGGTGGGGTGGTACAACCACGGGGCTGTGCCTCTAGAGCTGTTGCTGCAGCACGTGGTGCCAAGGGTGGGACTCCTGTACCCACTGCCCCAGGGATCCATGCCTGAGGAGCACAGGGTGCCCTTTGCCCACCAGCAATGGTCAGTGTATCAGCAGCCCTAATTTCAGCTGCAGGGTGTGTGGAGAGTCTTTGAACACGAGAGTTTGTTTGAAACAATTTTTATTTCCTTGGCAGAGAGTGTCCTCTGGGTGTATGGGGAGTGTCCAACCATCTTGTGCCATCTCTGAAAGCAGCATGAAGGGCTCCCAGAGCCCTTGTAAGAAGGTGTGAGGAGTGGTCCCATGCCTGGTGTGTGCTAATGGTGGGTTCTCTTCCTTTGCAGAACGGGCAGGCTGCTCCTGAAGAAGGTGGAAATCCTCCATCCAAGGTAAGAATGTTCTGAGGTTACATCTCTAAGTCATCCCCCTGAGCTGCGTGTGGGGTGTGAGCTGACTTGCTGAAGGGGTTGGGGGTGGCTGTTTTTAATCCCTGTAAGCTGCTGCTTTGTAATCTGGATGAGTGCATGTGGGAGTGGAAGGGACGAGGGGGGGAAGAGAAGAGATAAACCCTCTTTCTTCCTGCCCCTTTAGTCATCCAAACAGACCTAGAAAGTTTCCCAAAGGGCTGCCTCAGTCCAGCCCACAAGAGAGGGACTGGAGGCTGTAGCAGAGGGCTAGAAGTGAGTCCTGGGGGTGTTTCAGTGCTGTCCACGTTTACACCTTTCTCTGTGTTGTGATCTTGCCAGACAGGATGAGAAATGCAAGAGCATTGATGGTTTTGGCACAGCTGCCCTTGCTGAGTGCCTGGTATCTGTTTATTCTCCTGCCTTGGTGGGGCTGGGAGAAGCTCTGCTTCTGCCCAGCTGCCCTCTGCGTCCCCACTGACATCAGCTGGGAAGGGGAGAGGGAACTGGGAGATGTTTTGGGCAAAGGTCTTCATCTGCTAGAGCTTCAGACACGTACAGCTCTCCCTGCTCCACACGTGAACAGCAGGATGCTGAAGGACTTGACTTCTCCCTCTCCAAGTACAGGACTGAGGGGGATGTTGTCAGGGTGGGTATTTCCTAATTGTGTCCACACTCCTCATTTCTGTGCCTTGATATCATAAGCCTTTCAGGATTTCCTTTTTTGATACCTGCACGTTACAAGCATGAGGGCTGACGTGTTTGAGTTGGCTTGGGAGACCTTGCTGAACGGGTTGGCAAGAGTTTGTCCTGCCTCTTACCATCAGTGAGTGCCCTGTAGCAGTTTCTCTCTCTGAATCATCATCTGTGCTAAAGGCCATTGTATTGTTTTTTCCAGTTGGTTGCTGTCGTATTTTTAGTCCAAGAAATTTAAACCCCAAACCCAATTGCCTACTTTTCAGCCAGTTCTTTTCCAGGGGCTGATGCTGGACTTCTGGCATTGCTGTTGTACCTCAGCTACCTGTTCTGCATCTCTGTCCCAGCTGCTGGGCTGGCACTTTTCCCATGGCCTGCAAAGAAATCTGGCATGGGTCAGATGAACTCAGGTCAGCAAGACTGTGCACTTCCCTCCCTTGAGAGCAGTGGTTTTATGGTTCTTTGCTGTGCTTGTGTCTCTGGCATGGGAAAAACAAGTAATCTGTCTCTGCTGGTTGGGTTCCAGATGGGTTTTTAGAACTTGAGACTTTGCCTCTTTCATCTTCAAACACTTGGCTAAGCTGCCCTCCTGTAAAAGCTGCTGAAGGATGTTGATTTAAATGTAACTGAAGACTTTTTTTTCTTTGAAGGACATCATTGGGACAGACCCTGGCTGATTCCATCTGTAGATGCAGCCCCACAGAAAGATCATACCACAGAGGCCAAAAAGCACTGGGGGTTCTCTTTGCTGTTCTGTGTCAGTCCCTTCGTGGGACCAGAATGTGAAGTCCCCATTGCTGAGAGGAGCTCCCATTGCAGGGAGCTGAGGCAGAGCAGCAGGCAGGTTCTCCAGCATCCCCAGCAGAGAAAACACAGGATCCCTGTGCTGCTTGCAGGTGTCCTGCTTTCCACTTTTCCAAGGCAGCGTGGCCAAAATGCCTGTGAGGGATCTGACAATCCCATTTTCGGTCACTTTTGAACCCCTGGAGCCTGTCTATGTGCTCCTGAAATAACCTCAGCTGTGTTTTCCAAGTTTGTACAAGGTACATTTGCTACCAGCACAAATGAAATCCCTCCTATAAACACATCCCTCAGCTTCAGGACAGAGAGGACAGAGCGTGGGGCTCTGAACCAGCAGTGCTGAGGCAGGTGGGGGAGGCAGGCAGCACACTCAGTAGCTGTGTCTTCTTCTGTTCATTTTGGGGGTGAACAGCAGCAGCTTCTGGCACTGGCTCTACCTACAGCAAGGACTAAGGAAGGAGAAGTGAGGGCTGGTAAACATCTGAGGTTGCTGCTCTCAAGTTGGAGGTTGCTCAGGATCCCTCCCGTGCCCATCTGCTGTAGCTGCGTGTGGGGAGCTGTCAGGGCAAGAGGCAGCTCTGTTCTGGGTTGGTCCTTGCTGTCCCTTTGTGGTCAGTTCTGTGATCTCTTCTGAAAACAGCCTGAAGCAGCAACACTGGCAATGGCAACACCCACACAGAGCTGCTGTCCTCCCCCCTTCCCAGAGGTAGGATGCTGCCAGGAGCACAGTCATTACTGGCCTCGACAATAACCCCGTGCACTTTGCAAAGGAGGAGATCCCTGAGTTCCTCCAAAGAGTTGGGAACTTTGCAGCTGGCAGCAGGAGGCTGATGTGGTCTAATGCCTCTGTCACCATCTCAGCTGTGGCGTGGCACATCAGAGTCTTTGGGTGTGAAACAGGGTGGAACAGTCCCTGCAGAGGTGGCGAGGGGATCTCTTGGGCCAGGCTGGCTGCTCGCTGGTACTTTCTGGCTGCCTTTGTAGCTCCAGCTCAGCTTCCCACCAAGGACAGCTGGTGCATTTCACAGCTTCTTGTGGCTTTTATCCCTTTGTGTGGATTCTCACCTGGCAAGAGTGATGGTGGGACACAAGTCCCTGCAAGCATCATACCTCGGGGGGTTTATCTGCCTGCGAGGTCCTACAGGCTGGCAGAGGAGAGGAGCTCTGTGGTCAGGGCCACTCCAGCAGCTTTCCAGCTCTGTGGCCATAAGGAATTCCAAGCCAAACCCTCTCCTGAGGGGTCTGTGCTTATCTGGATATTCCCAGTGTGTCCCCACTGTCAGAGTGTGCAGCCTGCCAGGTAGTCCTGGCCACATCCCTAAACCCACACTGCTAATCCCACACTGCACTGAGCAGGAGCCTTAGGCAGACAGGTACAAGGATGGCTTTCTTTTCTCCTTTCCTCTTTGGTGGTGGTGTTTGACCCTGTTTAAATTTGATGTTGGCTTTAGAATAGCAGCAGTGCAGGCGGTGCAAGGTTTCAGTGCAAGGTCTGCAGGCTGTGGAACAGAAGAGCTCCTCTTTCACATCCACGTTGGTGGTGGAGGAGCTGGCCTGATGCTCCAGAGCAGGACTTGCTGCCCCAGCATCTGCATCTCAGCGAGCTCAGGCTCTGCTCTCTTCCTCTTCTGCTTCCTTTGTCACAGCCTGGGCTGCCACCAAGAGAAGCACCTTCTGTGACAGCCTTGGGCTAACCTCAGCTGCCTCTCTGTGCAGGTCAGGAGCAAAACAGGAGGTCTCTTGGCTGGCACTCAAAAGCTGCTCTGCCCCAGGGGCTAATCAGGAGCACTCTGCATTGGTCCCTAGGTACTGAACCTCGTTCTCTGCTGTGTTCTTTAGTTTTTAATTGGGAAGTAGGCTGAAGCTCGGTCCCTGTTCAGCTGGGGAATGCAGAGAGGGCTTGAATTCAGTGGAAGAATGGAACCTCTCACAGTTGGGGGTTTATATCCTGCTCTGCAGCCAGCGTGGCTGAGGGGTGAGCTCGTGCTCCCTGAAGGTGCCAAGTGTGAGGAATTATGCATGGAAGTACAACATCCAATCAGTGAAATCAGTTCATAATGAAGAGCAGAGGAGTGGATTTGCAGTGCTGAGCGTGCCCACTCTCTCTCTGGTGCAGGCTGCAAGTGCTGATCAGCTTGTTCTTGGGTGATAATCACAGTGAGCAATGAAACCTGGAGAGGTGAATGAGTAACCTCTCCCAGCTCTGCTCTGCACCATAAAAGAGACCTTGGAGACCTGAGCGAGGGCTTTGCTCTGCTGTGCACACCAGTGTGAGGTGTCTCCTCAGCTCAGATGGGAGCAAACTGCAATGGGAGTGCAGCACAGGGGAGGACTTGGCTCTTTCCCAGACCTGTATGGCTCCTGCTGATGGATCCCTGTGTCCTGACCAGGGAGGTCCTGCCCTGCAGCACCTTCCCCAAGGGAAGCTGTAGGCAGGAACCTTGGACACAGACACTTCTGGCCAGAGAAATACCCACATCACCAGTGCTAACATTGGTTTGTGTTCTGGGTGAAGGGCCCTGCTCTCTGCTCTAGTGATGGCAACACAGAGCTGCCAGTCCCAGCTCTGAACTGGAATTCGTTGGGATGGGCTGGAGGAAGCAAGGTTGTGGCCACCTGCCTGAGACAGCTCTGTGCCAGTCCTCTCTGTGCTTCAGCAGCAGTCAGCTGCTCTTAGAAACAAGGCTGGTTCTTGGTTTTGCTACACTCCTGCACCTTGCTGAGGTACTTGAGCCCAGCTATTCACTCCCAAATGCAAACTGCTTGTCCCTGGAGCAGCTCTCCTGCAGGCTGGACTTCCCCACTGGTGAGGAGTCCTGCTCTGACCTCCAGTCATGAAGTGGGAATTCTTCATGCTCCTCCAGGGGGATGTAAGAGAGGAAGGCTTTGTGCTGCTCCATCGTGGCACCCTGTGTGGGTGAGGAAGAGTCATCTGAGAGCTGGTGGCCAGCACAGGGTGAGTCCTGTGTGCCCAGCTAGTGTGCAGGCAGTGGAGGGCTGCACGGCAGGTAAACTCCAGCTCCAGGCTGAGTGCAAGGCAGAAGCCACGTCCAGCAGTGTGATCCTCCTCAGCACTGGACACGGCTCTAATCACAGCCTCTTAACATGAAGGGTTTTAAAGCAAACAAGTGAAACCCTCTGCTTTGAAACGGGTTGTTTGCACAGCTGCTGCCTTCTCCAAGGACTGGAAAGCTGCTGAATGTGGGAAGAGACAGGTACCTCAGCAAAACTCCTCTCTGCCCACTCTTCTGTGGCTTCCAGCCAAGAGTCCTCTGGCCAGTCTGGTCCCCCAGCACTGTGCAGGACCTGGGATGAGCTGCTGGGAGCAGAACATCTCCTGCCTGGGAACGTGCCCTCCCCTCAGCGCCGCAGGGACGGGGCTGCAGCTACTGCCACTCTCAGCATTCAGCTCCTTCAGCCTGGCAGTGGTGATGCCCTTGGTTCAAACTGGCTGCTTCGTCTTGGCAGTTGAGGTAATCAAGTGGGTT